ACTTAGCATTCACTGACTAGTCTTCCCCCTCTCCTCTGAAAGGAGAGCACAGCGGAAGTGTGGGAAAAGCTCCTCTGGGGATTGAAGGACTGGGATATAACTTTTGGCATGGAGAAGGTAAATGAGCATGGTGTCCTCAGCCTTGGAAAAGAGCTGCCTTTCGAGGGAACTGTTAGAAATGTATAAAACTGGGACTGTGCTAGATTAGGTGAGTGGGAAAATCATATTCCTTGTGTCATAGCAGCAGGTGCTTGGGGATATTAAATGAAATACCAGGCAGAAGCTTTAAGCCCACCAGAAAGGAGGGCTTTTTTTTCATAAATGCATCAGTCGGCCATGGTGCCTGCCGCCGCAAGGTGGCAGGGAGGACAAAAATGTGGATGGACTCGAACAGCAAGTGAACAAACTCGCAGAAGGGAGGTCCATCAAGGGCTGTTGAACACAAAGATGTGGATACGCCATCTGGCAGCCCCAAAACCCCAGATTGCCGGAACCTGGGAGGGCTTGGTGTCTTGCTGCGTCCATCCGAGCTTTACAGTTGCTCCCTTAGCGGCTGCATGAGCATTGCCAAGGACAGGACGAGGAACTAATGCTTTGGCCCGAACCAGTATGGTGTGTGGTGCCTTGCTTCTGCAACACAGCAGTACTTAAAATCGGCCACAAGAGTCACTGTTGCTTTATCTAAAGAGCCTCTCTACCCCCAGGCTTTCTGGTTGTGAATCGCTTGATTTCTTCAAGTCACCAAGGCTGTGCAGGTCTCCACGTATCATGGTTTTCTCGTGCACCACCAAACGGCAGGTGGGGAGTTGCAAGGGTTCGGGCTCTTGATGAGGACGATGGAGGAGGGTCGGTGCGTTACAGCAGCGTCCTTGCTGACGTGCTGCTCCGCGGCGGTTGTTTCTGTGCAAGGCTCCAGCTCTAACAGCGCGCAGCCTTTACCTTCCCTGGCTGTGCCGCAGGAATTTTGCTTCACTGTTTGATTTGCCCAGGGAGCACAGCATGTGCTTCTGAGACATGTGGCCCGAATTAACCTCTCTGCAAACGGTTTCTAAGTAACAGCGGTACATGTATCAAGATAAACTGTGAAGCGTATTTATATTTACCAAGGTTGTATTAACCTTTGAAAGGTTGACCTTACGCAAAAAAAGATAAAGTGACAAAAACAGTTAGGGCATGAAGGGGCTTTGCTGTTGTTTTTAATCCTTTCACTCTTTGATTACTTCCGCCCTGGCAGTGGTAAATATGCACTTGCTTTCAAGGCATACCTGATTTTTAC